CATACGGGTACGGTATTTTTTCAATAAAATATTGAAAAATTATGGGTTGCATATGGGTAACCCAAATACGGTCCTGCCATATATGGCCATATATGGCCATATATGGGTGTATATTCAATACAAACCCAGTATGGCATAGGTTTGAACACTTTAATCCAAAATAAGTCGAGTTTATCAGTTCCATCAGTGATCAAATTCGGTTTGCTCAATGGCTGAATTATAGTTCCGATTCTTCCATGTTTAGAAGAATGCTGGGGGCAAGGCTTGCCTCCAAACCTCAGGGATTCTCAAAGATTTGGATCCCCGTGCATAGATAATGGAAGCCAAGATCTTACAATCCCGACACATTTGGAAATCATTTTTCCAATCAAAATCCAAAGAATTGAAAATATCTACGCCGCTCATTCCTTCGGGGCAGGGTTGCATTGAAGTGCACTCATCCAGCAGGCGTGGCATCAAGCTCGCAACTCTGATGCCGAAATGGAGCGGGTAGCACCTCGGCAAGTATGGAGGAACCGGGCAGCAGAGTTGAATGACTAAGACATGGGTGACTGTTGAAACTGATTGCATGTGGATGGTGTTCGATTCGATCAAATTAAGCTTTGGGCTGTGTACTCTTTAAGTGCTTACTCCCATGCCACTTCTTCTTTCCGTCGGAACCCTTGTAGACATGTGTAGTTTTCTTCTTGGAGTTAGTCGATTTCCACCCTTTCAGGGGACCGCGGTTGAATTTCGCAATCCACCGGGAATTGCTAAGTGCTAGGTGAGGCTTCGGACAGAAATGCCCGTAGTGATGCATGTACCAGGAAATTCTGAAGACCTCGGCACGGTGGGGCATGCAATGCTGCAAGGCTAAACAAAAATTAAACTATAATTTTCAAATATAGTGTTCGGTTCAAAGTTAATTCAAAATGTCACTCTCGGATGACATGGCAGTCCAGAAAACAAAGGACGTGACTCGACTCACCGTAGTAAGCCACCGAACCCGCTTATGACGAGGAAGTAAGCTCTGCTTCGGTTGCTCCAATATGTATTTCCCTCCCAGGCACACGATCAGCGCCATCAGCAAACAGCACCTGGGCGAGACAATGGGTTGGGAACTGATTTGCCTACGGGTGGTCGTCAACTAAAAACTGAAGCTAAGAATCGTTATGCTGTTTTTGAGTCCTAGGCACCGACTAACCATAACATTGCCGTCGGCTACACATTTTTTCGAAGTATCCCCTTCAGCATCCAGCCAGTTTCGCAATGTTGACCCTCGTGAAACAGCGCTCCATGTGGAGCAAAGTACCCCAAGCCACACCACAAAACCTGCTGGGTCGGTTTGGAGAATTGCTTTGATGGCTAGCCTCAGCATGAGGATCCTAAACGGACATGGTCACGTGGGACGGGTTCAATCAAAACAAAACAAAACAAAAGGAAACTCGATGGAAAGTCTTGAGGGCAAGGGGCAGAAATCCCGAAGGAGATAAGATATCAAAACAAGTGCCTTTACCAGCTGAATACCCATTCTTGTCATAATCATCAAAGTCGATGCATGTAGCTGCATACCCACGGCTCTGGACGCATTTGGTGGCCATGCGGCTACCAGCAAAGAACTCAATCCACTGGTAAGCCTGAACAAGTTCAAAGGTGTTTGGGCAACAGCTATTTTGGGATACCTTTGGCTTTTGGAACATACTCGGTATTTGGGCACCCCGCCGGCTGCGGACCATCCACGACTGACCAAATTGCGAGGAGGGTCAAGAAAATGAAAGCCTCCGCATGGAAGGCAAGTATGATTGAAATAATTGCATGGTTTTCGAGAGAATAAACCAAATTCAAATCGACTCATACTTGTGATTTTGATTGCAATTGCCTTCGGCAGCTTCATGCGGGCCATATTGAAGACCAAAGAACTTGTCTCTCGTTCATCCCAGGTTCGACCCATTGGTCGTCGAAACACCGAGTGTGGCAGGACTTGGGGCTATTGGGGCTGGCGCTGGCCAGGTCTGGGAATTGATGAGAAACAGCTCGGTAAACCGGAGCATATTGGATATCCCATGTTTTCGATCACGTTCGCAACTCGACTAAAATATAATGGTGAGCCGTTGCAAGCTGCATCCCGCGTGTGAAAACATGTACAATGAGATTTTGAACCAGCTCTCAAACTCTGAACCCATGTTTTTTTATTGTTTTTAGACATCTCTGCACAAACATGTCGGGAAGTCAAGGCTCCACACGGCCACGCTTGGCAGCCCATTTGTTCCCAGCAAGGTAAGTCCTCACCAACAGAGGAATAAAGGGTAAAAATGACCAAAGCTGATGGGAACTGAGCTATATATGTCTTAATGTCAACCCCGGATTAACAAACCATTGCTTATTAATTAGGTGGTACTCCTCCAATAGTCATAATACCATCCCAATGAAACAGCCTAGGGGTTTGTTAATACAGGGTTGACATTAATTTGAATGCAAAAATTCGATCCAAATACCATGTAACAATTATGCATCCTAGTTCATTCTCTACTGGAATGTAACTTTTTGATCTGCATTCCGAATCCATAGTGCTATACTATACCATTCAAAGTGAAAATCACTGATGGGGAGCTTGACTCCTGGGTCTTTTCGGCATCGAGTGCGCAGTGGCGGCCTTGCAGAAACACAAAATTAACAACCACGAGCCCGACGATTTGGCATGGAAGAAAAAGAGAAAAAACATTGTTTCTTTTGAGCTTTTGATTTCTAGTGTACCGCACTCGGAATGACAGCAGGCAAGTCGGGCAATGGCAGAATCATTTTTCAAAATTGGCAGACTCAAGCACGCGGTCGGTTGGCGCTTGCAGCTCGGCGTGCACTGGGCACACACACACACATGACCCATGGCTACAATGGCCAACGCATTCCGGTGATTCGATTCGAGTGTCAAACAGCTTGCCGAAGTATAAAGTGAATAATTTTTTGCGATGTCAGAGCTAAGCCAAGCCGGAATGAACCCCTAGGCCAGAAATCAGCTATTCGATTTCATTGTCATTTCAGACCTCAAAAGCCTTCGGCTTCGATCCATTCGATGAGTTCGGCTTTCAATTGGTCGACTGCATTCTGGTCAGCCTCCGGGTCAACCCTAACACATCCCTTGTACCAGTCAAAATTCGCAATCGCATCTTCTAAGTTGATGCCCTTCAGGAGCTGAGTCCCCTTAGCCGTGCATCAGCTTGAATGTTGCAAATATATTTGATGCGAAGATTATGAAAAGATTCGGGATGAATAAAATGAAAATGGAAATACTTACCCAACCAAGACCCATCGGAATAAAAGTTTGAACTTTTTCCTGTTCTGGGTCCGCGCGCGCGCGCCACTGGGCTAACGAAAGAAAGATCAAAGTGGCGCGCGCGCGCGGACCCACAACCAAAAAAGTTCAAAAGTTGGCCCTTAGTGACTTCAGAATAAATGGAAGGGCGATATGACATGGGTGGGGTAGTGATTTTGTCCATGCCATCGTCAAATCGAAACATGTCCAGACTAGTTGCGATCAAAGCCATGCCCCTTGCTGCCAAAAGCATGTCCCCATCTTCTCCGACAATGCAATAGGACACCTGCGGCTATGCGGCCGAGCTGGTGCTACTGTGGAGGAGAGGTCTCGGGATGGGAGTTTCTGGTGGCGGTTGCTTTCGACTATACTGGACATATATGATTTCAATATCATATGGGATAACGAAGATTTGGAAAAGCAATACAACCAGGGCTGCCTGCTTCTGCTTCCCTGTCTCTCGATCGGGCACTTGGAAGCCAAGGGCATGACGGCTCCAGTAAGGGATAATTTTCAAAGTGGTGTTCATCGAATGAAACCAATCGTTGATATCGCTGATCTTCTCCTTGAGTTTCAAAGTCTTCTCCGTGTGGGTGATCCTTGAGCGCTTCGGAGCTGCAGCCTGCCAGGGGGCATGGTCGGAGGTTTTGTTTTGCTGGCATAGCTGAAAAAGTTTTTTAAAAATGGTGAACACATACCCCACCTCGGCTTCCTTCGGCTTTGCATTGTTCGTTTCCTCTGGTTCATCAGGTTTCTTTGAGTCGGTTTCCACATGAGGCTCTTCGTTTGATCCATAGAACTCCGCCTCGCTCATTTTGCGAGTTGCCCTCTTCCTTATTTGTTTCAGGGGCTATCGGCCCGGAACCCCGGCTGGGATAACACTTTGAATTACAAAAATCAAAACTGAAACGATGAAACTTTTCGAACCTTCCAGATTTAAGCTAAAGATCTGTCCAGCTTTCGGTGGGCTGTTCTTTAGGGCTTTCAAAACCCTTTTAGATTTCATTCTGCGCAACTTTCCAGGATCACTCTTGGTTTTCGACTTCACCTTGGATTTTGTACCTTTCTTCGTCTTCCCTTTGCTGGGTTTCACAACCTCTGTGCTATCATGAACTGCACTGGCATCAACATGATCTGAAGGCTCAATCCTTTTGACATTTGTGTCAACGATGCGACGTGTCTTTCGTTTTGGCTCTGCCCCCTCAGTCACCGGTGTCTCCGGTTTGTCCTTCGACTCTCCTCCATCGTCCCTGTCACATTCCTTGCCCTTGCCCTTGTCCTTATTCTTCTTGTCCTCCTTCAGCTGGAGCTGGTCAAGGCGGCTTAGAACCTGGGGCGAAGCAGAAGCAAGCGAGTGTCATCCATGACCATGCATGCAGAAACTGTGCTCATTTGTGCTCATATCGCAAATGCTGCAGTATCAAGAGTCATTCCTTTCTAAAATATTGGATAGCAAGGGGCTGGGACAGACGAAGGTTCGTCAGGAACCATTCCATACTTCTCATAAAGGTTGGACTGGAATGCTTGAGCAGCTTGATTCGCTTGTTCCTGGTTCATAGGCTGGGTGTCCACGGTGTCCACTTCAGATGGCAACCTCGGATGACCATGAATGACCCACCCTGACTATTGAATGGAATTCAGATGGCGCAACACTAGTAAAAGTTCCAAATCAAGAAACCAAGATTGAAACTTGATGAAAATCTTCAACAATTTATGCAAGAAACGTAGGTTCCGTAGGAGCCGTACCCACTCCAGACTGTGACTTTAGGGCTGCAATCTGTTTTTGCAAAGACTCAATTTTCGCTGGATCTGATGATTCTGTCCCATTATGATTCCCAGGCTCTTCATGGATCTTCTGGGGAGAATTCGATGTCCCTGGGGTTTGAAGCGAGTCATCAATCTCAACGATCTCGGATTGTCCATTCAACGATCCGGTCTGGGGCAACTGGTTTTTCAACTGCGTAATCCTTTCTTGGAGCTGTTCGGTTGATAACTTGGTTTCCGAAGGAGTACCCACTGGAAGAGCCATCCCCAAACCTTCGTCCATCTCATAAGCTAGGGTGTCCGCATGATCTGGGCCCGACATGTCCCCGACATCACCAGTGTCCTCCACATCATCGTCCGACCCGTCGCCCTCTGGGTCTGAATCCTCAGGAGGCTTCTCCACGTCGATGTCGATGTAGTTCTCCTGACAGCGGCGCAGATGTGGTGACAGGGAGGTTGACGGCAGAAAGAAGGAAGGGAAAAAGAAACATCATATGATATATAAAATGGAGTCATTGGGTATATGGAGTCGAATGCCTATGGAATACCATGCGTGATTTTACAGGGCTGAACTTTGTACGGCTGATGCGTGTGTCTCACTTCACTTTAGTTTATGCATGCGTGTCGCTTCAGCTCGCTGAGATCGAAGATTGGCATAGGAGTTTTCTGAGAATATCAAGTTGGCTGGAGCGGCAAAATTATGGATACTAGCTGTTAGCCGGACCAGTTTGGAAAAGGCACCTTGGGGCCGAACCATTCCAGGATGCTCACCAGCTCTTGGTCCTGACAGGGGCTGGACACGGACAATGCCACAAAAAAATATACAGACAAGATAAGTGTTAAAACTTGCTGCCTGAGAACCCGTATGGACATTTTTTTTCGTATGTTTAAGTTTAAAGCTTCAACAAAAACACACGCAACATCACGCAACCGGTTTCGAAACCCATGTCCCGCGGGGTGTGTGGAGCAAGGTACTTCTTGCGGAGAAAACCCAAAATCTTTTTGATGCTACTGCTGTTCAAATGAATTTCAACTTCATTGTCCGCTAGGGCATATTCGACGTGTTCTTGGTGGACCGGCTTCCCATTGACCATGAGGGAGAAAATGGCAACTTGAAGATCAAGATCTTTGAGGTAAGGGGTCTTAAGTAGGTGCTGGTCTCTCATCATGTCGATGATAGGCTTCACAAACTCACGATTGTGAATCGCATGCCACTTGTCCCTTCTCGCAAGCGCTTGGCCTCTCACCTGCTTCAACACCATGGCTAGCAAGCCAGAGGTTTGAGTGCGTGCCCTCAAATCCTCATCATGAAACCAGTGCTTAGCAAGACCGTTGAGGTTTGCCGGCATGGCGCCCTCACACTTACAAATACAGAGCCAAAACACCTTTGAGTCGTTCTTTGAGAACTGCCGCTGTTGCGTGCTTCATGTTGCAAAAACTGTGCTTCAAACTGATTGCTTGCGAGCCCAATTTCGACACAAAATTTTTGAAAAGTCAAAATGGAAACCCTCGCCTGGTCATTCTTGGCTATCGGTGGCACGCCATGAAAGTGACAGGCGCCAAATGGTGCTCTGCAACTTCGCTAGCAATGCGATTTTTATTTATTTATCTTTCTCTCCCATGCCATGCTTGATTTTTTGAATTCCAGCCTTGTCAGCATGCTTCATCTCTAAAAATTCCAGCGCTTGTCAGCATGCTTGATCTCTTTCAATTTCATCTCTAAAAATTCCAGCGCTTGTCAGCATGCCTTGTCGGATGTTCGGACATGACGCGATATCAATGAACCCCTGACGCGGCATATGTGGTTGGGGCGGTCCATCATAATCATCTATCATCTATCATCTATCATCATCATCATCACCATCATCATCATCATCATCGTCATCTTCATCAGCATCATCATCGTCATCATCCTGGTCGTCATCATCATCATTATCATCATCAGTTTGCAATGCGATCACACACAACATGCACATACAAAGGTATAATCAAATTGTCATATCGTACAATTAGCTTAAAAAAATGGCCAATACGGGCCTGTCCAAAAAAAACGGCCAATACGGGTGAAACCCAAAACAGACAAAAAAAAATGTCCATACGGGTTCTCAGGTACATATTATATATATATATGAATATATATATATATGTATCATAAAGATTATGGTCATCCATCCCATAATGGAAATCCATACGATGGGTAAAGAAGATCCCGAAGTGAACATTGACGACCATCCCAATATGTGTGTTATCCAACTCTTGACCATGACAGATTGTAAAACCACCATAAAACCACCATAAAACCACCATGAATGAATATGTCTAGATTGTAAATATCATTCAGGAAAGTGTGGATGGGTCAATGGGTTAAACATAGTGATGAATCTCACGGATTTGTCTGATATACCCGCATTCAGAATTCATGGAACTTTTCATATAAATATAGTGTGTTAATCTAAATCCCCAACTGAAAATGGATTGAGTACCATTCCCATCGAAGGACTGGGTAAACGGGTACACAATCCAACTTTTTACAACTTTTTGACCATGGCACATGCCTTTTGTGGTTTGAAGATGCTTGAATTGCGTGCATCTGAAAACGTGGTTTTGAGATGTTTTGAGTGTTTTTGTATAAGTTTTGTGGTCAGCTTGGTATCCCTCAAGGCCAAGATTGAAGTCATTTGAAGTCATTTGATCCCAATATCCAAGGGTCACGCCTCACAGTTCCATTCGCATTTCCCATCAATGGATTGTTTTTTTCGGAACATTTCAACCAAAAAGCCCCATATTTCATGGGAAAATCAAAAAGGTTTCCGATTCAGATTTTCCCCTAAACCAATCCATCTCACCCAGGCTTCGCCAACCTTGGCAAAGTCCCAGAGCATTTCGAGGCTGCCAGGCCTCTCACCCTTTGCTGTTTGGAAGGCCTCCCGGCGCTGGGTCGTTTCCCCAAACGATGAAACGACGAGCCAGGCCGCCGTTGTTTTTTTCTGTACACTGAATGTTTTTGATATTTTTGTTAAACCTTGGCTTTAGATATTTTGTGTTCTGATTCCTATCATTTGATGTCAAGCATTGCCATTCTGCCAAATGGCTATGGGATTTATGGCTGTTGATTCCCCCAAAATTGGATTCGGTGACTCATAGGTTCAAAGCCATCCACATGTTTGTGTATTTAGATGATAGGTACCCCAAAATCCACTTCCAGCACAGTGCATGCCAGCACGGGCGAACAGACCCATCAGCTGCAGAATGGAAAAAAAATGGTACCCCAAAATAGCTGGTGAATGGATAGTTATTCCCCAAAATATGAGAATTTCAGAGGTTTTGAATGGTTTTGATCCATCTAAACATTGTGGAAAACCGCACAGAATGAGCTTGCTGCAGGCCTTGTTGTCCTTCGCCACCAACAAATGAGTGCCCCAAGGATATGGCTTAATCACCTTAGATGGAGCTAAAAGCACAGAATCTCTGGAGTTTTTTCTATGTCCTGTTCATCGTTTGTTTAAGATACTGTAAGATACTTTATGATGTTAAGTTATACAAGAGTAAACCGGTATTTCGATGTATTCAAGACTTTTCTGTGGTACAGCTATATACTGATCTATATATTTTAAGTCTCATGCGTCAGTCTGTGGTAATCGGATGCCGTCTGTGTGTAGTCGGTATTTGCAAAGGCCTGTGACATGCCCGTGACGCACGTCTGCGCCCAGAACATAAGTTCCTGCCCTCGCTGACCAACGCGTGTTGTATTGAGATTGATCGCAGTTCCCTTTGTCTTGATGATTCATTATGGTTCTTGATGATTCCTGATTGTTCTTTTGACTATTTCTGGAGGGATTGGTCCTGTCTTGGGTAATGGGGCCACCGTCCAAGAAACCTTCTCCTTGACAGCGTCGTTCACTTCTGCTAACTCCCAACCTGGTCCAGGGTGGCTGACGTGGCAGGGACAGCGTCAGGATTTCGCACAGGGTCTGGAATCGTTTTGGGTTTTTTTTGTTCCCCCCTTTTTTTTGGGGGTCCTTTTCCTTGCAAATTGCTGCATTTTGGAGCTGGAAGCTGCCATTTCAACTGTATTGCAACAGTTTGGAGTTCAAACCTATCATTTTCCATGGTATTTGCAACATTTTGGTGCTCAAACTTTTGATGTTGGATGGTATTTTGCGACTAGGGTCCATTTAGGGCTTGTAGGTTTGTTTTAGTGTTTATTTCGGATTGGGTGCAGTAAGTTTCAGAGTTTGGGTTTGTTTAGGGATTACTTAAGGTTGTTTTTGTTTTTTTGGGTGTTAGTTTGGGTTTATTTAGGGTTTGCTTGGGGTAAGTTTCAGATTTTAGCTTTTTCAAAGGGTGTACTTGAAGTTGTTTTAGTTTTGGGTGGTGTTTATTTAGGGTTGGTAAAGGGTGTATTTGTATTATGCATCTTGGGGTTTATTTAGGCTTGAGAAGCCCAAAACAAGAAAACAGCGGAGAAGCAGAACAGTGGAGAAGCAGAGAAGCAAAGAAGCAGAAAAGCAAAGAAGCAGAGAAGCAGGGAAAGGAATAAAAGCAGAAAAGCAAAAAGCAAAGAAGCAAAGAAGCTAAGCAGGGAAACAGAAATCCAAAAAAATGCCCAAAACATCCAAAAAAAAAACAACAGCCCAAAAATAGGCCTCCTTTTGTTAAATCCCAGTTGTTCCATGGGCGGGGGCATACGCCATACGCGCCTGGTGGCACCTTGTTGTAGGTCAAACCTTTGGAGCCTTCATTCGGTTGGTAGTAGCGCGGTGTGACATTTAGACCTTGGGATCGCAGCAACCAGAGTCCGGATGGGTGGATTCTGAGGGTTGGAATCCTTCACGTTGCCATAGCCCAGAACCACATGGACTGATCACTCCGGATTTGTGAAATTCTGATGAAATATCTAAGAAGGTCGCGATCGAATTGATCAGTGCTGTGATAGTCGCAGCCGCAGCTAAGATTTGGGGAAGAAGAATTACTCTCTGGTAATTTAACATAGCTATTGAACATGGTCATTTATAGTTGATTTTCCCATTAAAAATGGTGATTTTCCATAGTTTTTTGTAAACGTTTACCAGAGGGTACCTTTCCTGCTTAGTGCTTGGTCCTTTTGCTGCGCCAATGTTGCGACTTCCCATGACTTCCCCCAAAACCTGGACCATCCTGGACTCATGATTCTCCAGAACTTAACGGCGTTGACGGTTAGAGCCGGACTTGAGGTCGCATCGATTCGAACTGAACATCATCAACAATAAACCGCAAGAGAACAGCAACATTTGGTTTTTTAGCATATCTAACTCATCTAACTTCAGTGGCAAAACCATGGCAAAACCATGGCAAAAATAGCTTCAGTGAATTTCGTGAATTTCCAATCTTGCCAGAAAAGAACTAGACTGAGCAGTTGTTCTTCTGGATTCTCTCATCGACGGACCAACGGTACAGTACGCAGCCGGGGAGGTGACACTGCTCCGGGACAGACTGTGGGGCCGTGAAGTCGATGGTGGCGTACAAGTGCCTGAAAGCAAGCAATACACGTTGCTGGCGTTGGCCATGAAACGGCAGTCCTCTTTCGGATGGTTGTACCAGTGTTTGCACTTTTTTTAACTCCAGAGACTGACAGACTCCGATCAACTGAATGTACCACTGAATGTTAATTGATGAGAATTGTATGTCAATGTACACAGTATCCCACATGAAAATGAGAAAAATGGGCAACTCACGCTCAAAAAGGAGCACAAGAAGAGGGTGGAACTTTGGAGACCCCATTACGACAAGCTGCCCATCGCATTCAATGGCATCTTGTCGCTGTTCCAACGTCACCTGCCGCCGTTTCAACTCTACGACACGAGGTCGGTCTGCTACAGTGTGTCACTACTCTGCTCCATTTGGAGGTATTCTGACTCGGCAAAGTAACGTAGACTAGACTCTAAATAATTATGCTTTATATCAATTAAACACCATTTTTGAAGGCAGGAGAAATTACAATCCGTTCAATGACTCAAAGACACCCAGCACTTTCAGCATCTCATGTGACCGGCAAGGATGAAATGGTTACCCGTATGTCCCAACATGGCAGGTTCAATAGAAAAAATATGAAACAACATGATGAATATGATATAATATGATAAAGTATCAACCATTTTGGGTTACCCTGTTTTTCAGACAAATCCATATAGCAATTGTTTGTTTTGAAACGGCACACCCTTGAACACCTGAATGCCTGTGCAATCAGCAAATGAGAACTCCGACCATGTGATGAGAAAATGGAAAGAAGGTTGCATTTTGAAAAGAGCGCAAAGACTTCAATCTATTTACAGTAACAATGGTTGCTTCCACTGTGAGCGTGTCATCACTATCTCCTATAGTATCAGTAAAAAAATGCATGGGTACACAACAATACGAAAAACATATCAAAAACATCTTTCTGCCCATGGCTCATTGACAAACTGAGTTGTTTCATGTTTTTTCCATCTGAGAACAGTCTCAGAGGCATTGTCTTACTGGGTCCCCCGCCCCTTCGTCAGGCTGTTCCTCCTGGAAAAGCGCGCCGACAGGGTGATTTGAAGCGTTTTACTCGGTGCCTTGTGCACAGATATCATTCGAACGGATGATATAGAAGATGCAGCGTTCATCCACCTCCAGTTTCTAGAAGGTTCTGAAAAGGATACTACTGTGATCTACTGTGTTTTGTGATACAAAGAGTTCAATACACTGGATCAAAATACTAAAACCAAACCAGCAAACCACCTGACCTTATCCTCTCATCGTTGTCAAAAACGATCGACCGAGTAGAGGCGAAGTGACAGGTGGAGTTGCTCCTTCTTTGGGGGCGGAGGTATTCTAGTCATGACCTCTCTTCGTCTTCCATCCTGGCGTGATGGATGAGGATGAAGCTCAAAAACAGAAATTTCCCAGAAACAACAGAGGTTTCTCTGAAAGTAGGCTACCCTTAAATTTATGGTTGATCATTTTACCCATATATCATAAAAAAATGATAAACATTGCAGTTCTGGATAATTCTGTTTTTTTTTCCACATGTTCAAACCCACACTGGATACTGCTGCAACAATCATGGTCCAGTGCGTCAGTTTTTCGCTAGGCAGCTGCATTTCCTCGTGAATTTTATCATTGGTCAAGCAAAAAATGGACGAAATGCTGGAGACTTCTTTGCAGACTCCAGGATATTGATACCCTCTGGTAAACTAACATAGCTATGGAAAACCACCATTTTTAATGGGTAAATCATCTATAAATGGCCATTTTCCATAGCTATGTTAGTTTACCAGAGGGTAGATGAAACGTTCAGAAGCACACAATTTGTGGACTCGCAATCTATATCCGAGTTTTATCATCCTTCCCACAAGAACTGGCCCTGAAAAATCATGAAAAATCGATGTACACTGCCCTGATATGCCCTGATAATAATTGCCATGAGAATGGCACAACCAACTCTTGGAGTTGACACCCTTCCGCGCGGTTTTTTACAAAAAAACCCATGGTGACTTTGCCAAATGTCCCATGACCACCAGGTCTTCAACAGCATTTTATTTTCCAGGATTCAGGAATCATCAATCATAATGATAATGATGATAATGATCATATTTTAATGATGATTGATAATGATGATTGATTGTTGATGACATCATAGTTCAATCATCAATCATCATCGATCATCATTCAGTCATCATCATCCAGAAAAGTCTGAATGATCAAAACTCCATGGACAGACATATAGAATCATACAGAATTCTGAATGATCATATACAATCAAAAGTTCAATAAATTCTGAGCTAAATCATCGACTATAATCAACTATAATCAATAAAAAAGTTATCAACTATGATCAACTACAATCAACTATAACCAAATATATATATATATATGTACATTGTGCATATATTCAATTATATATATATTATATATATAATATATATATATGTAGCAATTTTTATTATAATCACATCAAAGATCCGAACCACACGGCCCTGCCGAGCGCCACCTCCCTGGACCGCCGGCGGTCAGCGCTGCGGGAGTTCTGCCGTCTCCGGCTGCGACTGCGCCCTGGGTCAGCGGTGGAAGATGTTGGAAGACACCAGCCATACATTGGGCCGTCCATCATTGGACATCATTGGAACATCATTGAAATTTGAAGGTTGTCCGACTGTTGATTTCAATAACCTATAAAAATCTAATATATATATATATATATATAATATAATAATAATAATTATTATTATTACATTATATATATAATTACATATATATTCGATAGTAAATGATTTCCACTCTGATTTGAATGATTTCAATTTGAATCCAATGGAACATGTTGATGATTGATTCCAATCATTCCAATTCAAATTGTGTAAAATAGTGGATGCATAATATTGTATATAATACGTATTATTATAATATTGTACTGACTCGGGTGCAGAAAACTTCCAACTCAACACCGCTAGCAAAAACATATATAATTGGATGAAAATAATTCTTGGAGTCGACTTAAATCATGACATTCCAAATCGATTCTGGGTACCGTCAGCCAGTTGAGTCTTCAGAATGCCAATTAAATTGCACGATGTACACTATTCATAGGATAGTCATAGTCATTCATGCCATGGTCCGGACAACTATCTGAGCCCTGAGCTATCTCGACTGCGGCTGTCCCTGCGACCTTGCCCAGTGGTGGAAAAGGCAGCATTTGACATTAAGTACCTCATCTTGGTATCCAAAATATCCTAAAAATATAGATGTCTAAAATCATCTAAAATCTAAAGAGATCTAAACATAGTCTAAACTTACGCCAAGTTAGTCGAAAACGGAAGCCACAACCTGTTTCTCTGGGCTGTTGAGTCACTAGTCCCTGGGCATCCCGACTGGGCATGTCGCGTATAACACGACCCCGCGCCCCCCGGGACCCAGCGAAACGCTTGAGCCGATGGTTGCAGACATTGAAACACTTGAAAATCATGTTCAATTAGTTCAATTAGAAAATGGCTTGATTCCAGTCATCCTGAAAAGTCATCCTGACTTGTAAATAATGATAAATCATGTTCAATTCGTGCAGAATGTCTAGCCGAATGCTCCCATCCGAATTGGCTTCTGATCGTGAACCGGGGTTGATCCGGAACAGTGTATCGAAACCAGGGGAATGGAACACGCCAAACTGCGAACAGAGATTGCCACTGATGACACACAACTCAAGGCTGCATGACTAGTGGGCCAACTTACAGCAAAAACGTTCCAATATGTTCCAATCTTGCGAAGATCTTGTGACAGCTATGCCATGTCCTACCCCGGTCTCCGATCTATACATTTCTGGCTTGGCAGTGGCCTTCGTCCTCCTGCTTGTCCAATTTCTGGCCGAAGCCCTTCAGCAGGGCCCAGATGGGATTGTTCTTCTCGGGCAACGCCTTCTCAGCCTGGACAGCCCGGTGACCGGTCACCCATTGGGCGATGGGCAGATGGGTTATTCTGTTAGATTGATCCATGAAGGGTCACCAACATCAGGGCTTCTGATCCCCTTGGACTCAAATTCCCCTTGCTTCTGGTTGGCCAAAAACCTGAGCTTGAACATATTGCTGAGATTTGCTGAGCTAGAATCATGTTGCTGGGTATAAAATGCTTAAAGGAAAGCCAAAGAATCAGTTGCAGCAAACATGTTTCAAGAAAATGTTCAAGACTCTGTCTGTCAGTAAACTGTGGGTTTGTGGGGTCGTCTCGATGTCGAATGTGGAAACAGTAGCCCTCAAACTGGACCCAGCGCTACGTCACCATGTACATCAAAAAACTGTCGCAATCAATCTGCTGTCTTCCTCAGAAACTTCCTCATGTCGGTTCCCCCCCAACATTGAAGTTAGAGGCCCAAAGGAAAACAAGTCCCATTTACCCATATTTACCCACTATCTCAGAATACTTTCTTTATTTTCGTACACAGTCGGTTCCACCACTCCGTGACTTCTGCAGTGCGCCTCAGGATCTTCAGTCGTTGGCAAAGGCGTGACATAGATCCTCTTGCGACTGGCCTGTGGCACATCATTTTCCGTGTGGCAAAACACGACAGAATAACGGCCACATCAGTTGCCGTGAAATGTGCCCCTGTGGATTTTCAAGCGAGCGCCAATGAAACTGCAATAATTGAACACGACTGGACGTCCACCAAACAATTCATATCAAGGGTGATCAAACTCATGGCTATTGGCAGTGAATTGGAGGCTTCTTTACACCTTGAAGTGAACCCTTAAACAATACCTTCGCTGGTCTAAAGATGAGCTTCCAGACAACCCAATAGCATTCTTGATGCACATAAATCTGTCGTCAATGCCTAAAGTAGTAACACCATGGAACACCAAACAACTTGCAAATAGCGAACCCTCGACAACTGTGCCGGTCTGTCCCAGTTGTCTTTGTAGTTTTAGAGGTGAACATGGTAAAATGTCACGCTCAAAACATGATCCGTTAATGTCCTAGATTCTGCCTCCCCGCTTGTGCCTGCGGCAGAACGTCTGTGAATGCTGCACTCTCAAAGCCTGAACACCCCAAGGGTTGCAGTCGATGCTGTGACAGATTTTCAAGAGGATTAACTTCGGGCCACTCCTAGAATTGCAGGCCCAGCTCAATCCTCGTGCCTCAAATCTTGGTGTTCGGTCTCGTAGCTCAATCAGGTTACGCCCTTTTTGGGGATGACACCATCACACCTTACCCCTGTTGGAAATCAAGCTAACTTGCACATCTGCAAAGGACACTGCAGCTCGTCGACATTCAGCCCTGGAAATATCAAGCTCCCAAAGCTTCCCTGATCGGACTAGGGATGGTCGCTTGCCGTTGCTTGCCGTTGCTTACTTGCCTTACTGCAATTCTTGAATAGACTGTTCTGTAGAAGCCAGGCTGCTAAGTACGAAGCACGCACACGTCTATAGATTGACTTCCTCCATTCTGATCTCACCAAACACCAGCTTTTTGTGGGGACAGTAACTTTATGTGTGATGCAAAATCATCAACATACATCAAAATGCGACAGTGGGTCACACCCAGTGAGGAGTTGGACGGAATCAAGTCTCCCCTTCGCTTCAAAGATGCATAGATGCGATGTGTTAATGCTATGGATGTTATAGATGTGAATAGTGACTCTCCACAATCTACAAGCCTAGGCTCCATTCAACTCCATTCAAAAATGATTCACCAACCAGAAAAAAAAACCTGTCCGGGAATTTCAGTACTGGGCGTTCTTTCTGGATGTATATACACGTAGAGCTAGCATAATTGCACAGGTAATGTATTACAAAAAAATATTTAAATATGTAATGTATATTGCAGATACATATTTTCAAGTATATGAAGTATATGTATACCATGTACAACAAATAAATGAATATATCTGGATATTATACATATTATACATATATCACGTATATATACTATTATACTTTATTATATATTGCCATATATTGATATATATTGCTATATATTGCTATATATTGTTATATTATATGAGATTATATTATATTATATTATATTATAGTATATAAATATAACATTTTATATCATATTATATACATATACATACTATACACATTATTTTGCTCACATATATATCTATATATATGTGTGTGTATCAATTGTGAATCTGTATACAGTACATTCCATGGACCCCATCTCACAAGGCAGATCGGCAGATCAGAAAATTGCTGCGCTACAAAGCATGGCGCCTGTCTTGGGAGGTCCAAGTTCTGTGAAAGGCATCTGACACTTGCCCTTGGTGTAGATGACCTGAGCCAATGAGAGGCCGAAAAAGTGAGCCAGTGAGCGCAAATCGGCGCAAAGAGAAACTCAAACTTACACCCGTGGTTGATGTAAATTCTCACAAGGACCTTAGATCAACCACCAAATCTCAACCATGTCGATTTCTGAGGCTCCCAAGCGTTCTCGTGCACGTGTTCACTGTCCTCCACGATGCCAATGCCGTGCATCAAATCCTGAAAACCCCATCGAAACATGCCACCACTGGCATGTACTGTAACACCTCCAAACTCACCCACCAAAAACTGCAGAAGAGCATATGAAACATCATGTTGATTTATGATTATTCATGTTGACTTATACAACCTCATATCAATTGAGCCAGCTACACCCGGTACCAGCCAGTATCAATGAATTTTGCATAGTTCCATCAACCATGGTTGATCATCATTTTCGACACTAAAAGTTGCCATCAACTGGGGGCCATCCTCTATCTTTCAACACATTCCCCCATTGCTGGTTATATCCCAAATTGTTGGTATATATATATATGTATATTAGTTTAATTATTGGTTAAATTATTGGGATACATATTTTATAGTTATTATAGATAGTATTGTATGGTTAATATAAACCTAATGTCAAATATGTATATATATATATATATGTATAGTTTAATACATTAAATCCTCATATCAAAGTCAAACGGTTGCTGGTTGTACCCCATTTCATCCCGCCAGGATGAATCTTGGATCCAAAAGGCGTTCTCCCAGTTGGGCACATCTTCATTGGAGATGGGCCGGAACCTCGGAGTGCAGAAACATGGAGAAACATGAAACATGAAACATGGTTGGTATGGTTAATATATGGTTAATATTAATGGTTATTGTATGGTTGATGATGGTTAATAATAATCTGGTTGGTGGTTGAGCCCTACCCCTCTGAAAAATGATGGAGTGAAAGTCAGTTGGGATGATGAAATTCCAAATATATGGACAAATAAAAAATGATCCAAACCACCAACCAGTTATAGTCAATGGGAATAAAAAAGGATCCTAAAGTGGAGGTACGTTAGTACCATATGTTTGACCATATTTCATGGGGATATTCCCTTATATATGGTAGGTACCTCCAATTTAGGTTCCTGACATGGCCATTGATATAGCTGCCTATGGGTACTATCAAGATCTATCAAGTATATTAATTCACTTATAGGACCTATTATATCATATCATATCATATTATATATATATATTATCCTGAAAAATCATGAAATTACTTTACTTCGTGTGATCCCCACCATGACATTTATACATGTTCTTACTGGCACATCTTCTGGCATTCTATCTGACATATCTTCTGACATTCTGTTTGGCATTCTATCTGGCATATCTTCTGGCATATCTTCTGGCATTCTATCTGACATATCTTCTGACATTCTATTTGGCATTCTATCTGGCATATCTTCTGGCATATCTTCTGGCATTCTATCTGACATATCTTCTGACATTCTATTTGGCATTCTATCTGGCATATCTTCTGGCATTCTATCTGGCATATCTTCTGGCATTCTATCTGACATATCTTCTGGCATATCTTCTGGCATATCTTCTGGCATTCTATCTGGCAAATCTGATGCATTCTATCTGGCATATCTTCTGGCATTCTATCTGACATATCTTCTGGCATTCTATCTGGCATATCTTCTGGCATATATTCTGACATATCTTCTGGCATTCTATCTGGCATATCTTCTGGTATATCTTCTGGCTATCTTCTGGCATTCTATCTGGCATATCTTTTGGCATATCTTCTGGCATATTATCTGGCAAATCTTCTGGGATTCTATCTGGCATATCTTCTGGCATATCTGGCATATCTTCTGGCATTCTATCTGGCATTCTATCTGGCATATATTCTTCTGGCATATCTATCTGGCATATTTTCTGGCATATTTTCTGGCATTCTACCTGGCAAATCTTCTGTCTATCTGACATTTTATCTTCCTACATGAGGTCCGGCAGGGAACACTGGGCGTGGATGGTCGTGGTTGAGGTCCGGCAGGGAACACTGGGCGTGGATGGTCGTGGTTGAGGTCCGGCAGGGAACACTGGGCGGGGATGTTCGTGGTTGAGGTCCGGCAGG